CCTGGCTACACAAGGCACGCGCCCCTCAGCTCAAGAGCTCCACGCTGGGAAGCTGCATTAACCACCGTCCGCTGCAGAGCAGCGCCAATACTGGTGACAATGGAAAGCCCCAACAGAGGTGCTGGGGCAGCTTGTCCCCGCCTCTCCCAGCAGTACCAGCATTTGTCAGGCTTTCCTCGTCTGTCTTCCCAGTGGCAGCAAAACCAACTGGTCCAGGCACAGGGCACTGCTGACTCCAGGACCCTGCTGACAGGGCAGCCACTGCAAGCAGCAGCTGGAACACCACAGCAAGGTACTGGGGCAGCGGACAGGGCTTGATCTCCTTAGCAAAACATTAAGTTACTAGATTTTAGGAAACGGGGCAGCAGAGCAGGAGGAACAGGGAATGTCTCACAGGGCACTTGGTTTCTGCCCCTGTGGCAGAAAGAATCACAGGGCAAACGCTTCTGGAGTCAGAGCATGGGGCACATGCAAGACCCCCACCCTGGCACACATGAAACCCCACCTCCAGAGACACCAGCCCCTGCCAGAAGGGCCTGAAGCGCTGCAAGAACGAAAAGGTCCCTTGTTGCAATCAGTCCTTCACCCCAGGGCAGCACCGCGTGGCCAGTCCTTGTGCAGACCCCAAGATCATTCCCATTGCAGCAGTAGGAGACTTTCCCCCCTTCACAGTCCTGCCAGCATCCCGCTGCTCAGATCTTCGAGGACTCCACCCGCTCAATCCACGGCGAGTCAGCCCCAACATCCCTGGGCTCCGACCGCAGCTGCCGCAGCTCCCGCTCCAATGCCTGGCTGCGGTGGTACATCTCCATGTAGCTAGCCTGGAGCTCCCGCTGGTACCGCAGCACCTTCTCCTTCTCCTCCTGCCAGGTTTTCCTCTCCAGCTCAAAGTTCACAGCCTGCAGCTGGCCCTGGCGCCGCTCCCGCACCACTCCACCTGCCGCTCCAGGGGCTCCGCCGTGTCACTGTGAAGGCCCCGGCACTTGGAGTCATCAGTTTCGCAGCCGGGGAAGTCCTGGCACGCTGGCATGGGGTCATCACCCAGCGGCAGCGGCGCAACGGGCTCCAGCGGTGTCTGGAAGGAGTCTGCCAGTTGTGCCAGCTGGGAGTCCCTGGCCTGGACCTCTGCCTTGGCCTCCCGCAGCTGTGTCTTCAGGCTGAAGATCTCGCCCAGCTTCTGAGCCATCTCCTCCTGGGTGTCCCGGAGCTGCTGCTTCAGCAGGGAGATCTCCGCTGCCTTCTGGCACACCTGCAGGGCACAGGAGAGCAGTGAGGCAAGGTTGAAGGAGCAGGACCCCAGGAGTGGCAGCACCCCATGGCAGCACCCCAGATTGTTCCCACAGCACCCCTGGGAGACCATGAGCATCACCCCTGGCTCGTACCCGCCGTCATGTGGCCACAAGTGGCACCAGAGCAGAGAACCGCTGCCCCTGTCCTGGCTCCACAGCCAGGAGGGTGGCAACAGGGAGAGAAGGAAGACAACTTACCTCCCACTTGGTCTCCTCCAGCTTGGGGCTGATGCGCTCACCCTGGGGCTGCCGGACCTTGGGCTCCTCACACTGGCACTGCTGCATGCTCAGCTCTTCCTGCAGCCTCTTCTTCTCCTGC